TCCTCATCCTCATCCTCATCCTCATCCTCATCCTCATCCTCATCCTCATCCTCATCCTCATCCTCATCCTCATCCTCATCCTCATCCTCATCCTCCGTCTCCTCACCCCTCGCCGCTCTCAACTCCTCTCGCAACGCAACGATGGTGCGTGCTGCGGCCTTCAACATTCTTCCAGCCGGGGTTATACCCCCCTCCTCCTCCACGGTGGCCAGAATGTCAGGATCGACAACCGCCCGAGCCTCATTCTCGCAGACCTTCTGTTCGGTCTGGCGGCCACGGGAGTCCACGGAGCCCTCTGTAGTAAAGTTCTTAGTTAGTAATTGTGTAACCAGCGTACGCTTTGTGTTCAAGTCAATCACTTACTGGTGGTTGAGTACGTCCGCTTGGCCTTCTTTGTCGGCCTGCCTGACATGGCGTCCTGTCGCCCACTGCTCCCAGCATCACTCCCGACATCGGCGGCACTGGTGGCGTCTTCATCGTCATCGTTGCTGCTGTTCAACCAGTCCGACGTGCCCGCTGTGGCTGCTCCGGTAGCCCGGGAGGCCGACAGGACACCAGCAGGGAACCGCAGCATCACCTTTTCTCCCTGGGCAGCCGGCTGCACCGGCTGCGAGGGGCGCGGGCGCGGGCTCCCCTCGTGGTGAATCGAGCGGATCTCACCACCCGATGATGAAGAAGAGGAAGGAGACAAAGAAGGCTGCTTTGACGAATCCATGCTGCAGATGACTGTCTCTGGCTTGTTTGGAGGTGACAGGATGGGCTTTGTGTGCTGGGGTGAAGAGCAAAGTGACAGGCCGGATAGACTCTTCAGGCGTTGGCTAATCGGAGAGAGAGAAAGTCCTGAGAACAAGCCTTCGAGAATTCGAGAAGGAGTATGAGTTCAGATGGATGTACAGGGACTGACTGGCTTTGAGTAGGGTGCGATGAAGGTAGAAGAAGAAGAACTGAACGTCGAGAAAAGTGTAATGGTGTAAGTCATTCAGATGCTGAGAGGTGCAAAAGGTATTGGAGGCTCGTCGAAGCAAGACTAACAGCCAAGTTCCAACGTCTTCCAGATCAAACCTGCACCAAGAAGCCTCCAACACCTGCACCCAAACATCCGCCATCGGAATCTCTGCTCCGCAGTCTGTCCACAAGGCTATCGATCCCTCGTCAACAACATACAACAACAGTTTCTTATCCGTCGAGTCTCTGCAGTATAGACTTCATGTCTGTATGCTGACAGCGCATCTTATGGCAACGCTTGCCTCCAGTAAAACTCTCCTGCGCGGGAAGCAGCCCTTGAAGGAAAGTGTACAGCCTTGGACCGGTTCTGGTGGTAAGGGCCCGTCCCTGGGCTGCAAGGGACCACAGGTCTATCTGCAGCGGCGAGAATATTGAAGCTGTCCTTCCTTGACATTGAAGTGTATCCTGTCCACCGTACGAAGCGATGTCGGTGTGGACAGCTTGGACATAAAGGGTAGGTCTTGACTGCGTTGTTTGATAGAAAGCATCCTGACAAGCAACAGAAACAGCGACATGCCACAAGAGCTTGTCAACGACTGCATGTTTCTTCAGCCGTCAACCATCCTCGAAGGTGTCCCTAGGTGGATAAGGGCGCCGCTCTTGGCGGTATTTGCTGGCCTCATATGTTTGGCGGCATGCCGGATATCCCTGAGCGGCGGAGGCAGATGGGGTAGCACCATATTCGGTGGCCACATCTGTGTACCAGCATCCCGCCGGAGCACCAGAAAGTAGCAAAGAGTAGACATGCCCCAGAGAATCCGGACAAGAAAAGACCATCATTGCCATGGGCGTCGTCGGGATAGTGGTCAAGACCCCACATCAGGCTTCTCCGCAAAATTCCCATCCCGACGAGGGTTCTCCAGCCTGGAGAATACCCACATTCGTGACAATTGTCCTGGGGCCGAGGGACACACAGTCATGGGTAGATGGTCTTGCATACCTTCGCGGCCATTTCCCGAAACTCAGCATTTCGCCGAAGCCTGGCTGGAGATACCCCAGCCGTGTGGAAGTATTTACTCTCCAAGCGGTGGTTCAGCCAAGATAGGTCGTCCTCGGCCTCCTCCAACTCGCTTTGTTTGTGGGCACGTCGCTCGCTGCGGAGGCATAGTCGGAATCTGACCGCTTGTGAGGCTTCTTATCAACTGCCGGGGTGGAACTGTGACAAGATCTCTCGAGCCATTCCTGCCCATCGTGATTTGGGGGTGATATGTATATTATAGGCAGTCTGCCCCTAGGAAGGGAACTCTTTCCCTTGGACTGAGTTATACAATCTCTGGCGCCTTTGTTGGAAGCGTGAGTGTCAAGCAACAACATGGCCGCGGACAAGGTTCCAATCCAGGCTGAGACCATCGAAAATGCCCAAGCTGAAGAGCGGCGCCGGGCAGCCGAGTTTGAGGCTCCTATGGAGCATATTCAGGAGCTCAACGAGGCGCAACACATCAATCTCAGCTGGCGATCGTGGCTCGTGGTCTTCGTGACGTGTTTTGCCATCATGGCGCAAGTCTTCGTTGTTGTGGCTGCTGGCTCTGTCATTGCCTTTATCATCCGGGATCTTGGTGATGCTTCGATCGCCGGTTGGATTATTCGTAAGAGACATTGTCCCGGTGCTTCAAGATGTGCTGACAATCCGGCTGGTAGAGGGGCCACTACTTATGCAAAGCGTGCTATCCCCGATTGTCGGCCGTTTGAGCGATGTCTTGGACCGCAAATATGTGGCTTCCATTCCAGCACTGATTGCTTTCGCCGGAGCAGTGGTATCAGCGCGGGCCACCTCAATGTCAATGCTTATTGGTGGTGGTATCCTTATTGGAGTGACCTTGAGCACTATCTCGATAGTCCAGGCTATCCCGAGCGAGGTATTGCCCCTCAAATACAGGGCTCTTGCGAATGGATTCGCTTTTCTGGGGGGAGCCGTGGGCGGACTGTACGTGACATGCAAAGTGTCTTCGAAGTGAAGGTTTTCGCTGACAGTATCGGTCTCCAAGGGTCGGTGTCCTGGGCTCCGGAGGGGTGACGAATGCCAGTCCATCAGGCTGGCGTGACATCTTCTGGATGCAGGCTGCATTTCATCTGGCCACGTTCCTCGGCATCATGCTTTTCTACCACCCAACACGACGCTCCGATTACCCGAAAATGTCCCTGAAACAATACATTTGGGCTGTAGATCCTATTGGATCCATCCTCTTCATCGTTGCTTGCACGCTGTTGCTGTTGGCTTTGGACTGGGCGGGAGGAGCCTATGCCTGGTCTGATGCTCATGTTGCAGCTCCGCTCGGTGTAGGGTTTGGTTTTCTGGCGCTATTCTGCGTCTATGGTGGGTCACTGCAGATCTCTTGCACCCAAGTTTTGCTGATAGTGTTCTCTTCACAGAATGGAAGGGTCGTTCCGATGGTCTGGTGGCCCATGTCTTTTTCAAAGGCTCACCCAACTTTGCTCTCTCGGTCTTCGCATTCGCAGTCGAAGGCTGGTTGTTCTACAGCGCTGTCAACAGTGTCACACCCCAGATTGTCTTGAATCTCGGATACGAGACCAATGCGTGGAAGATTTCCATCCGACAGTTGTCGTACAATCTTGTGACTCTGTTTGCCTCTATTCCTCTGACGTGAGTCCACTATTGGGCCAACGAAGCTAAACACCTATTCAATCTGACAGGAGCTTGCAGGCTGTATGCGACAAAGTACAAAGACCTGAAGTCGCCATTGATAGGGACATTCATCATTTTCCTGGTTGTGTAAGTATTGTTCACTAGCAATGCACCCTCCTATAGATAGGGACTGCGAGGCTGACAATTCGCAGGTGCATCTGTTATGCCGTGATCACGCCTAGCATGAACAAGGCACAGATCGGCTTCAACGTCCTGTCTGGTCTTGGGCAGTCAGGTCCGCTGACACTGATCGTAGCACTCGTTCAATTCACAGCACCTCATGCATTTCTTTCGACAGCAACAGGATTGGGATTCTCTGCTCGTGCAATTGGAGGTGCTTTTGGATCTGCTGTTTTGGATGCCATCATCAATGGGAAACTCAAATCTTATCCTACCAAGGTTGGAAATGCGGCAGTTGAAGCTGGCCTGCCAACATCCTCGGTCCCAGCTTTGCTAGAGGCTCTTGCAGCAGGGGTCGGTGTTTCCGACGTCGTCGGGATCAACGCCACTATCGAGGCAAAGGCATTGGATGCAAGTCATTGGGCATATGCTCATGCGTACAGGGTTGCATGGGCCAGTATCATCCCCTTTGTGGTTCTTGCCTTGCTCGCCATTTTCTTCCTCAAAGGAGTCAAAGAGCTCATGACGGAAAAGGTCGAAGCGACGGTTGAACATGTCACGACTGAGGTGAGCGTCAACAAAGCTTGAATCTATCCAGAGCCTGCTGGCTTGGTAGATGGCATATCTGGAGCGAGTGAGCCATAGTGAACTGAGGTTACAAGGAGTGAGGAGGAAGGACACCTAGGTAAGGTCCTTCTGTCTTGAGAGCGGACAGGAGAGTGTACGGAAGGTCGATGTCTCGTAGCTATGCTCCTGGACAAGGGTTCCCGACTTGCCCACGTGTCATGCCATCCGTTGTGGATATGATATTTGCTATCCGGCGATATGACAGTTGCCGTGATTGATACAGGAAGGCTGAGCTATGCAGTCGCGACGCGTTGACCAAGGTTGGATCTCTGATGTTGAACGTACCACGGTAGATTGCTTTGAAGGCATGGCGCAGCTAACAATGTGGCTGCTTTAAGATGTCAATAGCTGCCCCGCCACGACAGGATGAAGCAGCGGGAGATCCATCAAAATGGGTCTTGGTCGTTTGATGATTGGTTACACCTCCAGACTGCGGTCGGCGATTTTGATTGAAGTGAACACTGCCGCTGACCGGCTTCATCTCTTGCAATCTCCTGTCGACTCCACCAATTCATCAAACCCTCTTTCTCGAGCCACTCAACATCCTTTCACACGACCCATCCGCCGCTTCTTCGTCGGGGCCCTGTCGTCTTGATCAATAGTCGTCCTGGGATCCTCCCGCTTCGCCTCTCCATCGTGCAGCCGTAGCCTTAATTCGATTGATACGGCTGATCTAAACATCTGTTAACGTGCGCCTATCATAATTGGCTCCTAAAAGAGATTGTTTACTACAACGCCTAATGTTGCTGAACACCTCCTGGTACTGGGGAGACCCTGGCCAGAAGTAGGCCGACAGAGATCCAGCGGTCCACTGCAAACGACACCAACGACGCATGTGAAATTTGAAGAGATAGAGGCTCCCACAGAAGCTTGGGCAGTCAGAACAAGCGCCCTCGAGGAACTTCGAGCCCCAAAGAAAGTGAAACCGGTTGCACGATGAGAGGAGCCAGCAACTGAGGGCTCTCTATACGTATCGCTTTCTGTTTTTATTTTGTTTGCGACTCTCCTTCCTGCCACTCAGCGATGTGAGCAGGCTGTTCTTGCAGATCCTACGATCTCCTTGTTTGTTCTTTGCGCTGTCTTCCAGATCTGTTGCACTCACTCGTTCGTGCTTCAGCATCGTCCGTTCGTTACCGCCTGGTGCTTTTTCCTTCTGTCATCGCAGAATACTCGATAACCCTCAGACCACTCAGCCGTCCGAGACCCGAGGTTGACGGCCCTGCTTTCCAAGCCGCCGTCTGAGCAGTGCAACACAGAAGCCCTTGTCACTTGCTTCCAGCTTTCAAAATGGCGGGGGTGCGCGACCCAGCTTTTTGGCGCCGATTCTCAATGGCGGTCCATCTGGATGAAGAGAAGGGAACAATGTCAGATTCAAAATCGACTTCGACTTCGACTGTATCGCCGAAGCCTGGATACAAACATACGTACGTGGTGGAAATGGCAGGTATAGATGTCGACGGTACTGACTATGCTTTGTAGGGATTCCTGGCTGGAGCGGACACGGAAGAAACAGCGTCGAACCCGGATCCTGGGCTGGGTCATCGCTTTGGGCTTTCTTATCATCGTTGTGGCCATCGTTATGGTCCTCCTGTGGCTCGCGAAAGTCGGACCGTTCAAGCAAGACTGATGATCGCTTGGAACAAGAATTTCGATCGGACACATTATCGACGTAAGAGGATACACAGTATATCACCACCTTGTATCCAACAGCCAACAACAGGCTGGAGGAATCTCTCTCAACAACTCATGTCACTAGCGCCTTCGCGACCTTCAATGCTGGATCCATGGAATGTCAAGCTTTATTCTCCTCACCTCAGGGTGCGCCCGGCATCACCATCAGGGGAGTCTTGGTCGAGAACCAGAGCTATTGTGAACCGCAACGGAGAAGATCAGGGATCCCAGGTGACTATGCCTGATGACAGGATGGACGCCCCAATTGCAATACCAGCAAAATTACTATTTTATGATATCACGAGAAACATGGTTACTTCACGGCGGTATGGCCGGGCAGATAGACAATAGACATTTTAGATTTCGGACGCATCGAATGTCCATATGGGGCTTCTATAGTTTTGGTTGAAACTTCTTGCAGCACATGTTCGAAGCGTGGACACTTTACAGTGGGCGCATAAATTTGGATGAAGCCGGACTTGCAAGGTCAAGGGGCAAGGAATCATCCCAATTCATGCCTTTTGGCTTCTTTCATTTCCTCGCCATCACTGCACTATAACTACAGTTCTCTCATTCAAAAACACAGATGTGATGACTGCGGGCCCGAGTGCTTCAGACACGAAAGACACTCTAGTGGTCTCCATGCCTCCATTTCACCGCTGCTTCATCAAGCAAACGAATCGTGGTGCCTTGTGTGGTGCGGACCGCAATGATTCAATTCGAAATGCACTGGAGCCCGAGTAGGCTTCAAGTGCTGCCTGAAACTGGTTTCAGGCCCGCCCTGGCTTGAAATGAGATACACAGGAGAGAAGACGTGAAGCTTTCAAGTTGTCCGGCATTGAGGCCTTTAACCTGCTGAAGTTTTCCCATCCTGCTTGCTTCTGATTGCCGAGACTCCCGGTTGACTCTTCGGCCTAGTACTTCGCCCATGAATTCCGTTGGCACTTATATGCTGCCTCAGAACATTGACATAAGGTCATAGCCATGCCCCAGTATTCATCAAAGACCGAACTCTGTGCCGTATTGGAACGCGCGGGAGTCGACACACATTGAGAACATTCGTGGTTGTTTCGAAACTCGCGTTGATTCTTTCTGGGTCATTGAATTCGTTTCGACAAGTCCGTAAATTCGCTTATTGATGTAATTGCGCTGTAAAGTCTTTCGAGTTCTTGCCGTAAATGGGCCGAGCGCGTGCATCACCCTGAGCGATAACAATCCCGTTGTCCGACTGCAAGGTTCGGTGTATGCGCCGAGCAGATCGACAAGCGGGCGGGCGTAGAGACGATTCTGCATGACTCTGCACCCCAAGCACAGCAGACCTCTTCGAGGCGGCCATCATCTAAAATCTCTTCCTCGTCGGTTCGGGGCTGGGACTTCGGGTCACGCTCCTGTCATCTCTGCCGCGCTCCTTCAGCCACTTCTTCGTGCTGAGCTCCAGTTCCCTTTCGAGCTCGGGACTCGGTTCCTTTCTGTGGATGAAATTGCAAAATCCGCCTCGTACACAGCCCTCGCCCGAGTTCAATCGACAACATGCCTCTCTGAAATCGGTGACGGGACTCAATTCGCAGTATATCGGCCGCGCAGCATACCATCTACTATTCAGCGCGTCGCACGCTGCTTGCGCCGAGTCTTCGTACTTGAATCGCGCATAGACGTTGCCGATCAGATGGTCGTTGTTGTTGTCGCAAACCACCACCTCCTCGAGTTCGCCATACTTGCACATCTCGCACCAGAAGTCCTCGTAGAAAGCGTCAAAGTGGTTCTGCAGTTGCGACGCGTTCATCTTGTTCTTTGGATCATACGCCGGGTTCTGGTAGAGGTTCGGTAGGAGGATGGTCTGGCTGTAGGACGGCTTGACGTGTTTTCGCGAGCATCTGTCGCCGTGGCGGCAGGCGCCAATCTTATAGTAGAAGGAGCAGTTGACCTGGGACTATCTGTTAGCTATGTTCAATGTTGTTGAGAGGGGGGAATGGACTTACCTTGTCCTGTTCTGTTCCGAAAATGGAGGCGAGATAGTTAGCCATGATTTAATGATCTTGACTCTGCGGTATGGTTGGTATGTTGTTTTTGGCGTCTGTGTGATGTTTTGGGTATACACAGTAAGTTTTGCAATCAACAAGAAGCGCGATTGATATTGTAGTCGTGATATGCGTGGCGAACAGAGGCATAAATGCTCATGGTTAGTCAATAATAAAAGATGCAGTTGGCCGCACTAGCCTGCCACGTGATCGCGTTACAAATTCATGCTCACTGAGGCTGCGGGTTCTAGAATTTTCTTGGCGCCAGCCTCGCCGAGACGACACCGCAGAATGGTGAGGTTCAAGGGTCGGGGGAGCGGGTGTTCCGGGTTCTTCTATCTTCATAGTGGGTGTTCCCTGCCACCTATCATTTAGGCTTCTTTAATACGGGGTCCCAAAGTTCCCAACCTCATCAGAAACTTGCTTGCCACGAGACTGGGCATCAACTCCGGGGCGATTTAGCCTTGTTTGACGCAAGGCTGAAAACTCCACGTTTTGCCTCAGGCACTACAAACGCGTTCCAAGCACTGTCAAGCCCGCGCCGTTTCATTCACCAGTGTCCTTGCTCTCAATCATTATGGAGGGCGATGATTGCGTATCGCTGAAGTCATTGTAGGACTGTCTTCAAACATGGTTGTGAGAGTGTAGCTTGCAGAGACACAAAACTGAGGGATACATGTTGCAACGGGCAATTCTTACAGGCCTCCCTGTCCATTGCTCCATTCGACCAGCTCACACTGGGAGCTAGCTTCTTTGCTAACTTCGTCAAATTCCAGACGCACGTCAGCTAATAATAATTCAACTCGCCCGACCTCCTTCCTAACAGGACTGCATGGCATGCTTGGAATCGAACTGTAATACTCCACAAGTGGTTATGGAAGTGCAATGACAGTGTCAGAGAAGGAGAGGCCCAAGAATCGAAATCGATGCTCTCAGAGTCCTATTTCCACACAGGTTTACCGCCTCCCGCCTCCTCTGTCCTCACATGTTACCTCTGTGAGACTCGGACTGCGACTGGGCCTTGCATCATGGCACGGGTAGCAGACTCTGGCTGGTCGGGGTTTGGCTTCATCAGCTAGAGAGCCAGAGTAGTGTATAACCAGTAAAGAGGAAAATTCACTTGCCTGTGTCTGGCAGGGGGGACTCCCTCCACACAAGAGCACCTTCCCAGACCATTGCAGGTTGTAGCCCACCTTCCAGTTGCATGAACTACAAGGAGTTCTGCCGTACCACCACAATTGCCGCACATTCAACAATCATGAATTCTAAACAAATAAAAAAGCAAAAGGTGTCGACACTGACTCGAACCGAGCGTGTGGCGTTTACCTTCTCAAAGTCTCTCTTTTCATATAGGAGCCTGGAGCTTCTCGCACCAGCAGTCAAGAACCTCAGACCTTGAAGGTTGAAGCGGTGTGACGGGTGAATTGGAGAGTCTGTGGTCGTTGGGTTATACCACTGCGCCAGCAGACCAGGAAAAAAGCAAAAACTCTCATCCAGAACCCGCCCCCGGTAAGGGCTGAGGTCTGGATGAGAGAAATCCCTAGCTGTTGAAGGGATTTTTTGTTCGTTCGTCAGGTTACTCTCCTACCATAAGCACTCCGGTGAGTCAATAAGCGGTAGGAGCCTTCAGTCATCGTCCGCAGTCTCACCACCGCTACACCGGTAAGGCAGTAGGAGTGGTGCTTAACTCAGAGTCAGTCCAGCTAGGGGTCTGCCTCAAGGATTCGTGGCTTCGCCCAAGAGCAAACTGTCTTATGCCTGGTGGCCACACCCTCACGCCCCAACTAGCCTAGCTAATACCCACCGAAGGTATATCATTGCTAGGGTTGGGACCCGGGATAGACATAAGAATTGTTGGACAAAATTCTGAACATTTAAAATATATCCCTTCAAAACAGCCCTGGGCTGGGCCAATCACAGCCAAGAATGGGAGCGAGGGCAACACGCACCTTCACGTGAGTCTTACCATTCACCGCATAACCTTTCCTACTGGGGCACTATCCCGAGGACTTTGGTTGTCCTTTGGGCCATGACCTCGCTCAAGCCGCTCCGGTGCATTGTCATTATCTTCGAGGTTGACGCTTTTGCAGATTGCGATATCTGCCCTCGTCATGGTCATGACTTGAGACATATATCAGCTTGGTAGAATCAGCCTTATCGAGACCAAGTCTCAATCAACACAGCAACCTTGGACGCCCTCTGGGTACCACATGTCATTCACTGCCATCTCCTTCTGCTCCCACCTGGCAATGCACAAAACTCCATGGAGTGAGCATGAAACTGTCTCAAGAATGACATCTGTTGCCAGCTGTGACAAGACTGCACAAGAGCTCAGCCGCTTGGGAGGATAGCCCTTACTAGGCCGCTCAAAACCCAAGTTTCTGTTCAAGTCATCGAACCTTTCGGAGAAGGCGAGGTTGACGGCGGGCAAGTCGACCACACATCCATAGCACAAATTGGAGTACTGGCCATCCTGGGTACATCTTCAGGCTTCTCAATGGCGCAACGCTGGTTTGATATCGCACAGAACGATGAGTGCTGATAAGCGATTGTCAGGGGTATATTGCTTAGTCATCTGCTACTCATGTGATCTTTCGATCACGTGACATCAACTACGGCGTCCTCATAAGTCACGGTACTCTGCATCCGGGTAGCTCTTTACATATACTAGAAGTACCCTACAATATCGGGAAGTGATCGAGGAGATCCTAGTTCTTGCAAGATTCTGTATGACAGAGGACTGCGCTGTCCAGGGGAGCGTATTGCCAGAATAGCTGGACTGCGTCAGACCACCATCTGATGCCAAGGCCCAAAGCTCCCAAGCTCCCAGCAACCAATCATCAATCATCCAAACTCGACGCAGTTTCCAACGATCTCCTGCTTTCAACGTCCCTTTCGCTATTCTTCACCAAGTCGACCACTCCGCTCCTCACAGTACACCATGTCGGCAGCACGCGCAGCCTTGTCGCTGGCACGGCGTGTGCCTTTCAAGCCAGTCCGGATCGCTCCTCGAACATTTTCCACGGTCACCGTTCGACGTACGTCAATCAATACCCCGAAGCTCCAGAGACACAGTCTTTCAATGCCGTGTCTCACCCAAGAAAATCTGTGACTGATATTGGCCTTCTAGGAGAGAAATACGACCCAAAGCCAGGTGAACCGGAGGGCAAAATCATCCCTTTTGATCGTGAGTCTGGATTCTCAGCCATGCGACAAGCTTCATTCCAGCGACCAGTCGAAGCTGGATGGAGCAACACGCGCAACAACTGACGTGGAAATGACAATAGAAATCAAGACCGAACAAGATCTCCTTCCTCCCGGTGCCGAGCCCGGTACTGTTCCCACGGATCTTGACCAGTCTACTGGTTTGGAACGTCTCGAAATTCTTGGAAAGATGCAAGGCATTGACATCTTCGACATGTCACCACTTCCGTCCGACCGAGTCGGTATGTAATAACCCGACGGATGCACCGGTGCCGGAGAGGGCAACTTTGGATGCTGCCACCTCTTTAAGATGGGTGCTGACGATTCTGTGTCCAGGCACTTTTGAGAACCCAATCGTTGTCAAATCAGCTGGAGACGAAATTCAAGCTGGTTGCACCGGCTGCCCTGCGGACTCTCACCTCGTCCGATGGCTAGTGGTATGTCCTTGCGATCTTTAGATGTTTTCGACCGGGGTCTTTCCTCGCAACACTCAATGTGGAACATCCGCTGACAACCCGATTTACCAGCTGTCCCGAGCGAGGCCCTTTGAACGATGCAACGAATGCGGTAGCGTCTACAGAATGGACTACGTTGGACCCCCAGATGACCCGCATGACCACCACCACCACGGCGGCTTCGAAGAGCCCAAGACGATGGCTGATTATGTCAAGCCTGACTACTGGTACCGATAAAGAAAGGCATATGGAGCGGATGTGTTGAAACAGTGCATTGGGGAGACGTTGTACATAACGTGATACAGGGGTGATCAGACCACCGAAACAATCGATCATGGTTTACCTGCCAAGCTTCTGTTCAGTTGAGACGCAAGGGTAAGAGTAGGAATAGGCTTGCATACCCTCATGAGAAATCCTCAAACATAATTGTTCATCGAACGGTGCTCAACCTGTCCCTGTGATAAATGCACCAGTTTCGCCGTTGGATACGCCACGCTAACCATGACGGAAGACCCAATGAAAAGGCTGTTTCAACCCTTTCGATGCTGATACTTGACCTGGCGAATGCAGTCTTATCACGCAAACGAAATTAGACCGGGTGCGATATGCTGTGCACCTGTGTCACAGAGAGGGCGTGCAGCGGGCATCTCCAGGACGATTGGAGATAAGGTAAGAGGGGGTGCATGTACGCAGACTCCGCAAGATACATATGAGATGAGGAGCTCCTCGGAAAACGCAGCAGTTTTGTGATCGAGTTGCAAACCTGCATCGTAGGTATCCACGGTTACTGACAGTTATCATGCCGCACGCGACCGAACCCGTATTCCAGCACATCCAGGTCAAGCAGCTTGCGCCGACGTTTGGGGCCGAGGTGACAGGCATTGACTTCAGCAAGCCAGTTGAGCCAGAGGTGTTCAAGGAGATTCACGACGCCATCACAGAAGTAAGTTGAGTGCCGTCTGAGGGAGGATGTCTGTCGCTAAGAGGACCTAGTATGGCGTTCTAGTCTTCCGCAGAGCCGCGCTCGACGATGCCCGGCACGTTGCCTTCTCGCGTCTCTTCGGCGAGCTCGACGATGTAAAGCCCTACCTAGGACTCGGGCGCCAGAACCGATTCCCCTTCGACGAATTATTCGACGTTTCGAACCTCGAGGACGACGGATCACTGGTGCAAGTTGGAAGCAAGAGAGATCACGTATCCAAAGTATGCGATACCCAGACCCAAACATGTCTCTTAGCCTAAGCTGCTGCACAAAAGTCACAAGAGAAGCAGAGCCATATACTCAACGTGTTGTTTTGCATCAGGGCAACTCCTTGTTTCACGTCGATTCGGCCTTCAACCCGCGCCGTGCAGGCTACTCTTTGCTGCGTGCCCACGAGCTCCCACCGCCAGGGTATGGCGGCAACACCGACTTCGCCGACACCCGAACGGCGTACGACGAACTGCCTCCCGACCTCAAAGCGAAGCTGAGCGAGATGGATTACGTGGGCGCCAACTCGCTGTGGCACTCACGTAAGAAGGCATGTCCAGACTCCGAGTTTCTGCGCGATATGGACCCCGAAGCCTACCCGTTCGGCCGACACCGCATTCTGCAGTTACATGAACCTTCGGGCCGCACGAATCTGTATATTGCGAACCATCTTCACCACTTGGAATATCTGGATGGTACGCGTGTTGCGGAGCCGGAAGGTACAGAATTGATTGAGACCCTTCTCAACCACGCCTCGCAACCAAAGTACCTCCTCAGCGTAGATTGGCGCGAACCAGGCGACTTGATCTGCTGGGATAATACGGCCGTGATGCATCGCGCGGGCGAGTTCAAGGGAATGGGAAAGTACAAGAGAGATATGAGACGCACAACGGTCCACGATGGGAGTAGTTCGGCTTGGGGGCTGAATGATCATACCTTGGAGAGGATGGGACTGCCGTGATCGTTTCATTCGTACTGGGGCCTGCATCTGGATTGTAAGTCTTATGTGAAATGGATCCGTAGGTGCGAATGGATGAGAGGGGTGATGTCGGCGTCCCATTCGTAGGTAATGATCATGACTGAATAACGAGGGGGTTCTTCCAATCTCGCGAAGAGAGATACCTGGTACCCTTTCTCTTTACTACGATACTAGGTAGTACTACTGATAAGTTCTAACAATACTCTCTATCGGCACACCGGAGGTACAACGATAGCACTTCGGACACTAAAATCGATTCCATGATCATTCTGGTAATTTAAAAGCGGCGGTATTTATCTGCGGCCGTAGCGGCTATACAGAGTCTACCGCGTATTCAATTTCCAAGCAGGTCCGTCCACTGGCACCAACAGCACTTTGCATTCCCACCACTGCACGTCACCTCCTGTCGCCTGAATACATACCTACCTACCTACATAGGTCAGGTAGGTCTAGGAATCAATCATCAATCAATCAATCCTGGAGCCTGAATCCTACTCGACTTGTATAACTGGTTATAGTGAAGATTTCCCCCTTGCTCATTAGTCGACTTCAATGCGGCTGCAGGCTCTACACAAGCAACTGCTGTCCCTTGAGCGTAAAGCACTCCCCTCGGCCACCTTTGCAATCAAGTACACCCGCACCATGGCGACCCAAATCCCCACAAAGTTCGACATAAACACCACTTATACCATGAGCTCCGGCTACAAGATTCCAGTGCTTGGGTATGGTGTGTATCAAACTCCAGCTGCACAGTGCGAAGAAGTCACCCTCCATGCACTCCGCACCGGATACAGACACATCGACTCCGCCAGGGCATATCGCAACGAGCAGCCTTGTGCAGACGCCATTCGGAACTCCGGACTGAGACGAGAAGACATCTTTTTCACCAGTAAAGTCCCGCCAAAGAGTTTGGGCTACGAAGGCGCAAAGAAATCAATCGAGTCCTCTTTCTTTCAGACTGGGCTGGACTATATTGACCTTTATCTGATCCACTCGCCCTACGGCGGCAAAGAAGCCAGGTGTGGTGCGTGGAAGGCTCTGGCAGAGGCCCAGAAGGCAGGCAAAATTCGATCAATCGGCGTCTCCAACTATGGCGTCCACCATCTCGACGAATTAGAAGAATATATCAAGTCTTCTGGCGTCGGCGGCACCATCGATGTTGGTCAATGGGAACTACATCCATGGCTTCCTCGCAACGATATTGTGGAGTGGGCAAAGAAGAGAAATGTCGTGGTCGAGGCGTATTGCCCCATCGTCCGTGGTGAGCGTGCGAAGGAGCCTGTTTTGACGTCTTTGGCAGAGAAACACGGCAAGACCTGGGCGCAGATATTGCTGCGGTGGAGTTTGCAGAGAGGGTTTGTGCCATTGGTGAAAAGTGTGACGCCTTCCAGGATCGAGGAAAATGCTGGGATTTTCGAGTTTGAACTGGACCAAGAAGATATGAAGGCCCTCGATTTCCCGGACTCGTATGCGCCATGCGCCTGGGATCCAACTACCAGTCACGACTGAGTCCCTTTACGGAGCGAGCGCTTACCTCCCAAGATCTTTCTACACTTGATTCCATCAAAAAATTCCAAGATTCAAGTCACATTCGCAACTCCCAAGATGGAGGAAGACCATTCTGTCACACTGTGACGGAGTCACATGACTAAGCAGGGCTTGGCCCTACTGTATGACTTACTACTACTACTCAACTCTCTTCTTCCTCATCTGTTGCTCTGTTTGTACCTGCTCCTTAACCCTCTGCTGCTGAATAGCTTCTCAGATTTCTTCGATCTAATTTCATGTGACTGACATTCGCGGCAATACAAGTGTCATATCATTCTCTCCAGTGACCTTTTTCGATCAACCTTGCGAGCAGGGAGGGCAGCAAAACATCCCCATCAGACATGATACATCTGGCTCCACACATCTGGGACTCAATTATGCTGTCCTAGGAAGATCAGCAAAACGGCGCAGTACCTTCTTCCTGTTAGCAAAGCAGGACCGTCGGGGCAGTTGGTGGCCACTTACGCTGCGGTGGCAGCAAACACCTCATGACGCTTGGCACTGGTGGCGCTTGAACACAAGCCAGCGAACATGGTTGCGAACGCCAGCGCCACCAATATCTGTCGATAACCATCCACATGTCGAATCCTGTACAGGATCATCACGGGACCCATGATGAGACAAATCAAAATCATGGTGTAGATGAAGGCGACAAATGCGTCGAAGCGTCCTTTATCAAAAAGCTCTAGACGCAGTGTCCCGCCGCTGAGCTTCCTTCGCTGGGTGCTACTTCGAAAGCAATACTGTCATGACTCAGCTTCTAGCAGGGCACAATGCACGAGTGGTTGCTTCTCACCCTGAGGAAAGATCTACCTGCGCTTATTCTCAGTGAAAGTGCCAGCAAAAGGCCATGAATCCAGCTGGATTCTTTGTCGCTGCAGATAGCCATCAGGTCGTCAACATGCTGAATATAGCTTCTGTCACGTTGGGAAAGCTGTCCATCATTCCATATAAATGCGGCCACAGCCTCGCGGTCTCTTTGACTCGGCGCATCAAATTGGCGTATCTCGGCCGAGCGTTTCAGAAGATCGTCTAGCATCGGTCAGCAGCACTTGAGATTAACTTGGCTTAGCAGCAAGAGTCACCATAGAGCTTCAGCTCTCTGTTCAGCTTGTTGAACAACTGCTTCCGTTTTGCCGGATGTCGTCTATCGTCTCCTTCACGGCAGCAGAGTGCTCGTCTTGTTGGTTCATTATTGAAATCCTTCCAGTCCAGATCCTCGAGCGACTTCTCGATTTCTCGCAGGCGGTCTTGATGCCACACCAGAAGCCTGGCCCGCAGGTATCCGAATCGGCGGAATATCATGAAAGAAGGGTCGCTGTCAACCACGGCTGCAAGTCTCGGCCATCCTTCTGGGTTGTCTTCGACTGGTGGGCGGGCCGTTAGCATTTGAGCGGAACCGCCAGTCGGACTCATACTTTTCACAGCGCTTGTCTTGTTCCATTCTTCTTCCGGACTTCCTTGAATCGCCTTTGATATCCTTGAAATCCATCGACTCAGGCGACCTATTTCTGGCCGTTAGCGAGGCGGCCTCCATGGTTTCGGCAGTTCCTCTCTCACTCTTGTATGTCTGCCTCAGGTCTTCAGACCCCGGCGCTTTCTCCACATCTATCGTGTCCGCTTCTATCGACATAGTAGGCGTTGTTTCTGGAATACTGTCCTTGGCTTCAACAATTGCATCAGCGCTCATGGCTACGCTTTCGATGGCTGTTGCATTGATATTTGCAAGAATGAAGAATCTCATCTGGAGGACCTTTCGCTTTTGAGCGCTTCACGTCGTCGCCACCATGGTTACATCTTGAGTCGCACAAGGCGTACGTCGTGAGAGCCAGAGAGCACAACCCTCCGGTGTTACACGACGCCTTTTCAGGAAAGCATTTCCAACATTTAACGTTCTGAATATTTGGCCATACTTTGCATTTTGACGGCCTCTAGGTCCAAGGCCAGTCATGGAAAGACAACGCTGTCGAGTCTGCAATTGTACTATGAGGCAAAATACGAGTCTTGATACCGCCAGGTAACCAACTTCGTTCCTCAGCCATTATCGGGTCAGGCACCTTTCTTTCGATAGTACTGTCCACTATCTGCCGACTTTTGAACGTTGTGCTTAGCAGACGATACAGCATCCGTCTCCCTCTTCCCTTCGGCGAACCCTCTCCGGCTGTGGTCTTGAATCCCCTCTTGGCCTCCCTCCGGCATCCACGTCTGTGGGCTTTGTCCTTGCACCCCGAGACTAAGACCAGTCAGCGAGGCCGAAGTATAAATTGCCGACATTGCCTGTACTGGTTGTTCGGCGCTGGTGTACTGTCTTCCTGGTTGCACCTGCTGGGCGACTCTCTGAACCTGTCCCTGCTGACCGAACCTCTGCGCCTGCGGCCGTTCTTGTTGAATGGCTCTGGTAGCTTGCATCCCCGCAAGTTGGTAAAGGACAGCACTTTGCGTCGCTATGAGATACTGGGAGCTTTCTGGTTCTTCACCTGCATCTTCAGTTTCAAAAAAACAGTATCTTCCTACATGGACTCGGGATTGCGACGTTACCTTCAGGGCCCGAATCATCCTCAAAGCATTCGGATTGACTTTGCAGAGTGGCACCTGGCTGTTGCTGCCCGGCCTGTCTCTCATTTTCTGGAGGCGACCAGCTTCCCAAGTTCTGTTTCTTGTTCTTGTTTACTGAAGCGTGAGTAGGCATTTTGGAACAAAGGTGTCAATGAACGTTGTCGTTGAGAGGTCCGGTAGATGATGGCTGAGAAAGTATCAGGAGAGGTACTGTACCGGTAAACAACATTTTATCTTCGCTTCGAACTCTGCGTTGGACATGAACACATTCGAACGACTACGTTCTCACAACCAAACAAGACTGCACGTTGAATTACTGCGGTGGCCGTGAGTTGCGTTCGTTTTTTCGCACTTGAACTGCCTTGGGCGAAGAACACAGCAAACCGATCAACGCAGTGCCCATTCTCCATGACTAGCAGTCCAGAAAAGGCAGTGCGTCTGTGGCCGAACTTTTGAATCAACGCAAAGCATAGGCACGTGCAGGATGCCCCAACACAACGACAAGGCTGGGTCAAATAGGAGTCATGATCATATACTGCGGAAAACTCCCACTCCAGCCCTACGTGCATGAGACTGCAAATGGCTTCCGCCGGAGTTCTACAATGCTTCCTTTGTCTCTATCTTTTACTGCCTTTTTTCCAGTCTGGATTATTGAGGATTGTGGCACTGGCGTGATCCGGAACAGCAAGTCACTAACAAAAGTTTGACAGCCTTGTACCGACCACAGAGGCCCCTGGGTCAGAACCAACACATAGTTCCTGGGCCAATTACTTTGCATGTGTCTGGCGCAGGCCTCAAAGATTGAAAGATACTATGCATGATGGCCTCCACAATTTGGCAAGTGAAAGCCCTCTTGTTACAGATGCGCAAGGCTAGAGAAATGCTACTGCCCATCCTTTTGTCCGAAAAAGAGATGCTTCACATTGTCAGTCTCAATCAGCAGTGCATCATCAAACATTCAAACCCGCATATTGCCATAGTGGAGCAGTAACTTGAGGCAGGAATGACAAAGGCAGTTGGAAGCAGGAAGCAGGAAGCAGGAAGCAGGAAGATCAAGTATATATGAAGGGTTTCCCATGGAGCCTTTTGCTACCGCTTCCTTTCCTCCACCATCTTCTTCAACTGTCACCCTCATCGTTTGCAGCCCTTATCATCACTACCTGCGTCCATCTACGTCTACTTATCTAACGTCCTGGTCAAAATGCAAGTGAAAGTGCGTGACTGGAAGAGAGCATCGAACCTCGCAAAAGGTGGAGATGTACGTGTTCCACCTCTCCATCCCCGTTGAAGATTTGTTCGATGAATCTTTGGAAATACCCCTAAATTCTTGACACTGACGTGATTGGCCCGGTCTGGCCTTTCTAGTGGTTCCCTCGACGATTCAGAACCGGCGACTGGATATATTCAGCCCTCCATCGCGATCCCTTGGAGGTGATCTCTGTGAACGATCGACGAGACCAGGAGATTCAGTGTCGCGACGGCGGCAGCGTGATTGGGTTCACGTATCGGCAGGTGAAGAAAGTCAAGTTCCTCCATGACGACTACGTGACCATCAAAGGATACGAAGATCCAGCTGCGGGGGCCAAACCCGTCATCTACCAGATCAGCGAGGTCGAATGTTGGGAGAGAGACCGTTTCTACGTCGACTGGCGACGCAACACGACCCCAAACTTCAAGCTTCCTTGGGTGGGCAAGAGATTGAGGGAACATCACTGGTTCGTTGGCATGTACCGAATTGTGAGCACAGAAGACGCGAGCAAGGCTTGGGTGCCGCAGCATCGTCTGAAGCTCGCAGATGTCAGAGGCTCGTACGACTGGCAACACATGGAGTGGATCAACTACTATGATACGAGTGATTCATCGGATAGCGAATTTTTCCTGTCAGGCGAGGCGGATAGTTTGAAAGACTCGTCCGACGAGGAAGATGAGGGTTCTAGATACGCTAGTGAGCCAGTAGTTCCACTGCTCTCTGCTCTCGGTGTCTGTAAGAAGCGTGCCAGCGTCCCATGGGACGAAGGGGATGTAGAGGACACTGAAGATGAAGGGGACGAAGGGGACGACGAAGATGATGGAGACGAAGGAGACGAAGGAGACGAAGGAGACGAAGGAGACGAAGGAGACGAAGGAGACGAAGGAGACGAAGGAGACGAAGGAGACGAAGGAGACGAAG